TCTGTTATTTTTTTGGAAGTTACATTTAGATACAAATTACATGAATAATATTTTTTGATCTTATTGACATAATAGAAAAAACTGAACTGGTTATTTGAATGAAAATCATGAGTGCAATTAGTTTAATTAAAATTTTTCTTATTTTTAAAAATTACTAAAAAAAAGGGCTCGAAATAATAGATTTTCTCACAAAAGAAGGGAATTTGAAAAAAAAAAGGAAAAAAAAGTCGGACCCAAGACGGGACGCGAACCACAGAACTCCGATATCAAGCCCGACCGACATCCCACCAGAGCTATTACGATCGTTTAGTAGTCTGTCAAAATTTACCTCAAATTTCATAAATTTATTGCCCGAAACTACACTAAATTTTATGAAAATCGTTGGAGCCGTTTCCGAGATTCCGATTATATATATATATATATATATATATATATATATATATATATATATACATAATTTTATTAAATTTGGTTTGTATAAAAAAGGTGGGTAAGGTTTTAAATTAAGTCGCCTGAATTAGGGGGTGATGGGGAGGGAGGCTGGGAAGTTTTAGAGTCGCCCCCCACTTCCCCCCAGCCGGATGTGCTTATATTTGGAACGAAGTTCCTTATCGCGCGCTGCGAAAGGGGCTAGACGGAAAAAATTAAGGCCAAAAGTTGTAACGACACTATTTGCTGTAGTTGTAAGCCGTGCGGCGAGGGCGTGTTTATCTCTCTCTCTCTCTCTCTCTCTCTCTCTCTCTCTCATAGAAAGCAAGCCAGTTATTTTCGTTTCGTCTTTCTATTTCGCATTAAACAGTGTGGTGTCGTGACGATTATTTTTGTTGAGTGTATACAGGTTTTTTGTACATAATAAATATAAAAAATAATAACAATAATGAATCCTGGCAGTGTTTCTGCACAAGTTGCGGATATTGCTGATGGAGTTAGATAAGTAGAGATTTTATACAGACGATAATAAATGCTTATGTATTTTTAGCAAGTACGCATTCTAACCTCTCTTTACTATTGTGCTAACCAAGTCATACGCGTTTTAATCTCTCCATTATTGTGTGTTTAGCAAGTGGACGCGTATATTTTAATACTAGAATATAAATGCGTATGTATTTAGCAAGTCGTGCATGTTGTAACCTATACATATACACTTTGTTGTGTTTACAAATAAGTCCTGCGCATCTGTGACGTGCACGAAAGATTCGACAGACATAGTGCGTATATATATATATATATATATATATATATATATATATATATATATATATATAATTTGGTGTGTGTGTGTGTGTGTGTGTGTGTATGTATAAAAGAACTTCGTTCCATCCGGGTGTCCCTTGACACCTCTCAAGTTTTTTTATACGTTTTTAAAATATCATTGTGAGGTTATGTTTTTGCAATGTTTTTGCCTATAAACCTGATTTATGGGGGGAGAGAGTTGAAGGAAGGAAGCCCTGCGCCAGTTAACGTAGCGAAGTCGAGGGAAGCCCGGTCGACCGAGTCCCGGTTCGCGGGCTCTTACTTCTGAGTGGTTTATAAAAGAATAACCACGTAGGTGATGGCAGGGTCTATTCGCTCGCTTCGCTTGCTCACTCAACCCCGTCATCCCTTTCCAACCCAACCTCTCCGAATCGGGGTGCCCTAAGTCCCGAGCTCGCTTCGCTTGCTCTAACACTCAATAAAATATGAAAATATTAACTTTTATATTTACTTTTAATTATAAACATAATTTATAGCTACAACCATTTGTAAAAAAGGATCTAGAGGGGTAGCGAATTCGTCGAAAAACAGGTGGAGGTGGATAAAAACGTTAGGGAGCACATTCACGTAAACTTGGAAAGAACGCCATGACGTAAAGTATATCTGTCAATGTCAAAAAAATAGATTCATTTGCGATTGCGATTCATTTTATGCATTTTGAGATGAATTTGACAGATTCAACGTCAAAAACGTTAGAATTTATCCATTTCAAGTCTAGTTAGTGATTTATAATATTTAAAAAAAATATTAAAAATACTTCGTCGCTGTTCCGGCAGCAAAAACGGTATGAGGGTGCTTCAGATAGACCCCCTTGGCCCCCTTACAGTGAAAGAATCCTCAAATTCAGGCGACTTAATTTCAAACCCAACCCAAAAGGGTTATTATAATTAAGGAATTTATGCATGATAATAACCCCTGGGAATGAGGTAATCGCTACCAGGCTATTTCTAATTTGTTTGAATTTGTTTGTGTTGATTAATTATGCGAACATGATTGTAAGCTGTTATTTTTTTTATAAAGTTCTACTGGGTTTCTTGCTGGTTATTCCCAGGACAGAAGTTTTCTTATGAATCAGTGATACTTAAATAAAAAAGCATGAAGCTTTCAATTATGAAAAATAGAATCGATCGCTTATAGTATTACCTAGATTATTGTAAAATGGGATAAGTTTAATAAATTTGACGTATTGTGTTATACTACACGTCAACTGGTTAAAAAGCTGTACATTTTCACACAACAAAAACACTGGATATTATCGCCATGTAATTTTTTTTCCATTTATAAATATAGGCCGTAATCATCATGTTAAGATGGCAAATGCACGTTGAAAGCTAAATACAAAACAACAAAAATCCTCATATAATGTCCAGCTGTGCGCTTGGAACCGGAGGAAACGGGAAACTGGATGCCGTGCAACGGGAGGAGGCGAATAGTTGCATAGGCATTACCAATCATCGCCTCAGCGTACGAGATAAATCCGGCAACCTTATTTTTATAATTGACAACGGTACCAATATATACCCGTCTCCGACTCTTCGAAGATATTGAGTAACGTTGACTGCAGCAGGTCGTACTTTCACTCAGCCTGAGGATTCACTAGGATATCCGTGACTTGCTGTACGACATTCTTCCCCAGCTTGGCAATAACCAGATGGTATTTATCAGCATCCGAGAGCTTCTGGTTGTATAGTACGGATTCGACCTGTATGAACCAGGTGCGTGGCTGATCCTTTCCAAAATTCAGGGATTGTCAACAAAACAGTTATTTGAGATATTTCCGCTTCCGGTTTCTCTTCCTTGGACGTCATTTTTGACGGTATACACTACACAGACACAAAAGAGCACGGCTCTAGATCACATCGGAGTTACTACTTTAACTGATGTAAGTGTAGTGTGTTGGAAATGGAATAGGTATAGGTAGGTTTAATTACGTTTTTATTACGCGTGTGATAACAGTACCGGCCCGATCGCGACCGACTATACAATTCAGTTACATAGGTTCTATGCTAAGTGTAGTTACAGAGATGTCTAAGTCGATGAGAGTTACTTGGAATATGTTTATACATACGCGATATTATAATCTACTTGGGTGATTATTACATACATAAAACATGAAAAAATTTATAAAATCCGCATAATAAAATTCATATTCATTTATTGATAAAATATAAGCTTACAGTATATACAACCAAATCGCTTATAACTTACACTAAATTTACAAAGTAAGATAAAATACACAAGAAAAAAATCACCAATTATTAAATTTCCATACACAATATAAATTACAGCCACAACAGTATAATGAGATCTATTTACTATATCATAAATTAAACTTGTTTACCTAAACATATACTATTCTACTATCTTACAAAGTTGTTTAAGAATATTAATACATTTTTATACATTGCGCTGGGTTTGTCAAAAAATATATCTGCGTCTGGATTGGCCCTGAGAAAACAGTTTATTAGTCTAACGGCTCTGTAAGTGGGACTGTTATCTGCGTGTGGGGAGCGCCACGTACGCGGACAGGAGAGGAGTCTACGTTTTCGTCTACCAACACCTCGCACATAATGGTCCGGTACATAAAGATGTATGGTCTCCCGAACTGCAGGATTGTCTACTTTGTTACTTAACAAGAAATAATAATGCATTATATGCATAAGTTCCCGCCTACACTGTAGGGTATCCAGACCAACCATGCCCGATACAAATGTTGACGGATATAGAAATGGGTAGTATCCATACTGGCGTTTATACAGATATCTGGCAAACTTACGTTGGATTTTTTCCACCATCATTGTATACATGATTTCTCGGGGGTTCCATACTAAGGCGTTATACTCTAGCTTACTTCACACGTGGGCTCCGACATTATACAGGAGTTTTATCACACGGACATTTTTAAACTGATGCGAAGTTCTAATTATGAAACCTAGACTTTTATTCGCTTCTTTGCACGTTTTAATAATATGTTCATGGAAATTTGATTTACTATCCATGATTAGGCCTAGATCGCGAATTGAATAGACACGTCCTAATGGAGTGCCTGCTAGCTGGTATGTCGCTGTGATTGGATTCCGTGACCGAGAAAAAGATAGAGTCTTACACTTTGAATTATTAAGGGGCAATTTGTTTTTTACACTCCATTCAACCACTGCGGCAATTTCACTCTGTAATGCCTCAGCTCCGGTCACTGCATGGAAAAGTTTTATATCATCAGCAAACATTAAACATTTTGCCCTTGGGATATTACGGGCACATCGTTAATCATTATTAGAAATAGAGTTGGACCGAGCGTACTACCTTGACTCACACCCGAGCGTGTGTAATGTTCTTGAGAAATATAACCTCTTAGCTTAACAAATTGCTTTCGGTCTCTAAGATAATCTGCCATAAATTTTAAAAGTGGTGTAGAGAATCCAAGCATTGCGAATTTCAATAAAAGGATATCATTATCAACAAGGTCAAACGCCTTCTTAAAATCAAAATAGGCTGCGTCGACTTGACAACTTGACTTAACCCGAGTGGTCACGTAGTCCACAAACTGTATATGATTCGTCAAAGTAGAACGTTCCGGCCGGAATCCGTGTTGACAGTTATCTAGAAGCCCACCTATTTGTTTGTAAATGGAATTATTTACAATGGATTCAAACACCTTGACAAATACTGATAACACCGCGAGGCTTGAAGTTAGTTACATCAGTGGACGAACCACTTTTAGGTACAGGAGTTACCCTGGACACTTTTCATGCATTGGGATAGAGGCATTGTTGAAGTGAGAGATTGTAGACATACAGTAATGGTTCCTCTAAAACTGCCATACAGTCCTTTATTAAAAACGAAGGTATGTTATCAGAGCCACAAGCTGCCGATGCCTTAAGACGGCGTATTGCCCATCGTAGATCTGAAGCTTTAATAATATTAATACTGACTTTGGTTACACAGTCTGCGTACATTGCATCGCGTTTCGCTGCCTCTGCATTTAAGAATGGAGTGTCAGGTTGAAAAACTGAGCTGAAATACTGCGCGAATGCATCAATAGCTTGCTGCCCTTCTAAAGTTCTATTATTATACACAAATTCCTTATTCTGTTGTCTATTCTTTCGTTTTTCTTTCACGTATTTCCAAAAATTTGAAGGTTCGCGTGCTATATCATTTTCAACTTTTATCATATAATTTATAGATGCTGTATTAATAAGTTTTTTTACTTTGGTTCTATAATATTTAAATAACGCCTTATTAAATTCCAAGCCACGACTTTTGAACATTTTTAAATTAAAATATTTCAATTTTATGTATTTTATGATTTCCTTAGTATACCATTTTGGATATGTATATTTATGATAGGTAGTTAAGGATTTATAGGGAACTCGTCTACTAATGACTTTATTAAGCTTATTATATAAGATCTCTAAAGCTACATTTACATCCTGTTGGTACATTAGGTCCGTCCAGTCCAAGTCATTTATATCAGTGTACAAGCCACAGAGATCTGCTTTACGGAAATTCCATTCTGTGCAAAGGTTCTGACATGGTGGAAATGGTATGTTTATTGCAGCACTTGTTGGTAGTGTAAACACGATCTCTAACGGAGGGTGATAAGCATCAATAGGTACCAATGGTTCAACTTCGAATGACACAGTACAACTTCCGGAGTCTAGATTAGTCAATACCAGATCCAAGATGCATCCATATTTATTACAAATATTATTACATTGCTGTAAGTTGCAACATTTTAAGAAATTATGAAACTGAGTTTGAACTGACTTATTACAAGACCTTAAGTTGAAATCACCAACAATCAAGAATTTACAGTCAGAATATGTGTTAATGGCATTTTCTATACAATTTAATGAATCAAGATATTGCTTGTCATTGTAGTTTGGTGGTAAATATGCAACACACACTAAGAGTTTAATATTTTTCAACGTTAAAAGAGTAAATAACAATTCTTTATCATCAGTTAAACCATCTATGTTCGTAATTCCTTTAACGGTAAAACTATTCTTTACTGCTAAGATAACACCACCCTATCCGACGTTACCTGCACGATCCTTCCTTAGCACAATATACTCGGGAGGGAACAGTTCAGAGTCATATATAGAATCGTTGAGAAAAGTTTCAGTAAGGATGACAAGATCAATTGATATTAAAGACATATTATTATGGAAAGTAACAGTTTTTGTGCGTAGACCTCTTACATTTTGATAGTACAATAGTATTTTTTTAGATCGTACTTTATTACTACGTTTATTCTTTTTTTTGCGGGCTGTTCTATACGAGAAAAAACTTAGTACTTTCTACTTGAGGATTGGTCTTTCGAGGTGTGATTATTGTAGTATAACCATAGTAGTTATAGTCAATATTTATATTATCTAGTATATTTTTGTAAATATGCTGTATTCCTTTTTTATTGATTTTCCCAGTTTTAAATGAGTACATGTCAAATGAAGTTAAGAGATTGGAATCATAAAAGTATGCATAATTATTGTTTTGTAATTCCAAATACATTAATTTATTAAATAATTCTATTTTATAATTATATATTGGTGATCCACATACGTATGTAGGAGCACATAGAATTATATTAGTATGAGAAATATGGTGTAATGCTTCCGTTATGGTTTTTACTAACTCTATACAATCACATGTAGTTCTAAAATATCTTTCACCTATCATAATGATACAATAGTCCCACATATCGTATCCATGCAATTTTTTATCAATATTCTGGAGTAAATATTTAATATTACTATTCGGCGAGAAGTAGTCAAACTGTTTATTGAACGTAGCATCAACAGCTGACAGCGTACCCCAGGATGAGCTGTTAGTCAGGATACACAATTTGAGTCTCTTACTTTTATCAATTTCTGAGTTTAAATTAATCGTGTGCTGAATTAGCGAGGATTCTTCGAATTCTTTAGCATGGACTGCCTTTTGAAGGGTTATGATTTGATTATTAAGGTCCGCTATTTCATTTTTGGCTAACTTCAGTTGCAGCTCGAGATCTTTAAGATTCTGCTCGAGGGTTAGGATGTTCCTGTTAGAGAATTCCTCTGTCTTGTTGTCACTGGATGCTCTGGGCGGTGTGGCTATTATATTTACATCTGAATATCGTGGGGAACTTCTAATTTTCTTTTTGGTGCTACAATTTGATTTACTTTTCTTTGGTGGTGTTTTGGATAGAAAAGCCTTTAATGTGTTATTTTCTTTGATAAGATTGGTCACTTGTGAACGGAGGTCGTTATTGTCTAGAATAATGTTTTCAAGTTCATTTTGTGTTGTGGCAAGGTCCATTCGTAGCTGTTCTATGATGTCTCTCATGTCCTGAATAGAGACAACTTCCGTCATTGTGTAATCCATACTTTTTGATAACAAGGTTTCATCAATAGTTAGACCATCGGAAAAAGTGTCTGTAGTTTCTTTCCCTGATTCTGTGCTAGCTGGAGTAGATACTGGTGTGGTCTCTTGGGCAGTATTAGAAGGTAGGATTACACTATCGCTAATATTGTGTACCAACATCTTCTTCCTCAATGTCACATTGCTCTCCTCGGTAGTTAATAAAGTTTGCCCAGCTATTTTTTATCGCATGATTTGCATTGCCATTTTTAGCTCTTTTCTGGATTGCCAACACAAGAAAATTCAAAATAGTTTTTGCATAAGGTGCACACAATTGTGCTTTTATAATCGACAAGACTTTTACATTTATAGCATGTATCATGTAATGACCTCTTGCGGCCGCTGTTGGTATCACTTCTAATCTTAGACGACATGGTTAGTTGATAATTAATTGATTGACTTCAGTTTCTCACGACGTCTGCTAGATGTCGCTAAGTGTATGTATATGTCTAGCAAAGAAACGTGCTGATTGGTCAATTCAATCGGTGGTAGTTCAAGACGTAAGAAAAAACGATCTTTTTATTGCTTCACAACAACAAAAATATCTTTAGTGCACAAATATCAATATAAATAAGAAATAAGTATCATCACAAAGAGAAAAATACTTATTTCTTATTGCTGTTACAACTATTGTTTACTAGTGCGCAAAGTTAAGTTTTAAATTTTGAAAACACTTACGTATTGTTCACAGCACAATTTTGTCCAAAGTTAGTTTCTGATCACATAAATAACATTCACACACAAAGGTTGCACATCAATATTTTAGCTAATGATTTCTTATATTTACGCGAACACTACACATTGAAATAATACTAGATTTTACGGAATTTATCGCGTATATTTAACTTTTAAATACCCGACGTTTCGAACGCTTTACAGCACTCATGGTCACGGGCGGGACTGAGATGTTCAACGTCCATATGTCATAGTTAACCGCGGTTACCATAGATTAAGATTTTAACTTTTGTTCCGATCTATGCAGTATGAACTTATGGTATCTTGAAGTCTTGCAGTTGTATGCTTGGGTTGGGATTTAATTTTATTTATTATAGGATCCCAAGCAGATGGTAGCACCCAGCCATCTTCTCTATTGAAATTAGGATGTTTTTTGATTTCAATAGCCTCGCGAATCATCCTTGGAAGGAATCGGTGTTCTTTAGCGAGGATTTGCGGTCTATCAAATCTGATGTAGTGACGGGGACGATCCTGTACGTGTTCACAGACTGCAGACTTCCCGGAGCGTCGATTCTTCACATCAGCTATATGTTCTTTAACGCGGGTTTTTATTGATCTTTTAGTTTGTCCTATGTAGGAGAGACCACATTCACAATCAAGCTTGTACACTCCTGCATCTTGCAGAGGGACATTACACTTGACTGATGGTAAAAACTGACCAATCTTCTTCAGCGGCTTGAAGTATGTTTTGATGGAAGCGCGCTTCAAGATGTAGCCAATCTTGTCAGTGACTCCTCTAACATATGGCAGTACAGCAGGTACACGCTCGACTGTGGCCGGCTTCACTCGTTCACTGTGACGTAGGCGCGGGACTCGAAGCTTGTTGTCATGCAAAACTTGCTTGACATGGTGGAGCTCTGCAGCCAGGTGTTTACTGTCACAGATCCCTCGTGCTCTCTGAAACAAAGATTTACCCACGGTAGCTAACTGTGAAGGATGGTGGTGAGAATCACCGTTTAAATATCTATCTGTATGGGTCTTTTTTCTATACACAGTATGGCTCAAGGTGTTATCAGGATTCCGAATTACTAACACATCTAGAAAAGCTAAGGAATTGTTTGCCTCTAACTCCATTGTGAACTGAATTTTAGAATTTATAGAGTTAAGATGGTCTAAAAATGCAGTTACTTTATCTAAGGGTAGAATTGTGAAAGTGTCGTCTACGTACCGCTTGTAGAATCTTGGATTTATGGGAGAACTAAGGAGGGCTTTCTCCTCAAAGTCTTCCATGAATATGTCGGCGACAATGGGAGATACAGGTGAGCCCATCGCCACACCATTAACTTGCTTGTAGACCTCCTCCTTCCACAATAGGTAGCCAGATGTAAGGCAGTGTCTGAGTAATACTGCATATTCTACGGGCATGTTGTTTTCTTTCAGCCTTCTAGTTACAATTGAGATGCAGTCTTCAACAGGTAAGCATGTAAACAATGACTGCACATCAAAACTGACCATAGTTTCATTGTCTGCCAGATGTAGGTCTTTAATCTCGCTGACAAAATGGTACGAATCCTTTATGTGTGCTCTTGTATGTCCTCTGAGCGGTGAGAGTATTTTCGCTAAGTGTTGAGCCAATCTGTAAGTTGGTGAATCGATTTGGCTCACTATGGGACGTAATGGAGCATTGGGCTTGTGTATTTTTGGTAACCCATACAATTTTGGTGATTTGGCGCACGTAGGTATTATCCATTTTACGTCCAGATTTAATTTTTTCGGAGTGTTTCTTTATGAGATCACTAGTTGTTTTTAGTGTGCTATTTGTTGGGTCGTTTTTAACCTTTTTATAAGTACTTACATCCGACAAAAGTTCTTGTATTTTAGAATTATAATCTGACGTATCCATGACTACCGTGGCGTTTCCCTTATCTGCGCGGAGAATCGTCAGTTCTGGTTTATTGCGTAGGTTTTTTAACGCTATAAATTCGTCTTTAGGAAGATTCGGTTTAGGCACTGAACATCGACGTAACATAGACGAAATGTCTTGACGTATCGCCTCCAAATCTTCTTTCCGCATATTGTTTTTAAATAAACAGTCCTCGACACTACAGATAATTTCTTCGTACGGTAATTTGCGAGGTGTTATTGCAAAGTTCAGGCCTTTGGATAAAACCCTAATTGTTGCATCATCCAGTGTTTATTTTGACAGATTATAGAGCGCGATTAATCTACGATCTGTGTTTGTCAATGGTTGCTTTCGGTTCTGGCATTGATTCAGATGTTTGACATTTGACTTGTTCGTTAATTTTTGATATTTTTCTATATGTTTGTTTTTGCATTCGTTATATTTAATAATTTCGCGTTTATTTAATGTTTCCATGCAAAAATTATAGTCAAACGTCGTTAAAACTTTCTTTAATTCACTGGATGATGTGTCTATGGGTTACCAAAAATACACAAGCCCAATGCTCCATTACGTCCCATAGTGAGCCAAATCGATTCACCAACTTACAGATTGGCTCAACACTTAGCGAAAATACTCTCACCGCTCAGAGGACATACAAGAGCACACATAAAGGATTCGTACCATTTTGTCAGCGAGATTAAAGACCTACATCTGGCAGACAATGAAACTATGGTCAGTTTTGATGTGCAGTCATTGTTTACATGCTTACCTGTTGAAGACTGCATCTCAATTGTAACTAGAAGGCTGAAAGAAAACAACATGCCCGTAGAATATGCAGTATTACTCAGACACTGCCTTACATCTGGCTACCTATTGTGGAAGGAGGAGTTCTACAAGCAAGTTAATGGTGTGGCGATGGGCTCACCTGTATCTCCCATTGTCGCCGACATATTCATGGAAGACTTTGAGGAGAAAGCCCTCCTTAGTTCTCCCATAAATCCAAGATTCTACAAGCGGTACGTAGACGACACTTTCACAATTCTACCCTTAGATAAAGTAACTGCATTTTTAGACCATCTTAACTCTATAAATTCTAAAATTCAGTTCACAATGGAGTTAGAGGCAAACAATTCCTTAGCTTTTCTAGATGTGTTAGTAATTCGGAATCCTGATAACACCTTGAGCCATACTGTGTATAGAAAAAAGACCCATACAGATAGATATTTAAACGGTGATTCTCACCACCATCCTTCACAGTTAGCTACCGTGGGTAAATCTTTGTTTCAGAGAGCACGAGGGATCTGTGACAGTAAACACCTGGCTGCAGAGCTCCACCATGTCAAGCAAGTTTTGCATGACAACAAGCTTCGAGTCCCGCGCCTACGTCACAGTGAACGAGTGAAGCCGGCCACAGTCGAGCGTGTACCTGCTGTACTGCCATATGTTAGAGGAGTCACTGACAAGATTGGCTACATCTTGAAGCGCGCTTCCATCAAAACATACTTCAAGCCGCTGAAGAAGATTGGTCAGTTTTTACCATCAGTCAAGTGTAATGTCCCTCTGCAAGATGCAGGAGTGTACAAGCTTGATTGTGAATGTGGTCTCTCCTACATAGGACAAACTAAAAGATCAATAAAAACCCGCGTTAAAGAACATATAGCTGATGTGAAGAATCGACGCTCCGGGAAGTCTGCAGTCTGTGAACACGTACAGGATCGCCCCCGTCACTACATCAGATTTGATAGATCGCAAATCCTCGCTAAAGAACACCGATTCCCTCCAAGGATGATTCGCGAGGCTATTGAAATCAAAAAAACATCCTAATTTCAATAGAGAAGATGGCTGGGTGCTACCATCTGCTTGGGATCCTATAATAAATAAAACTAAATCCCAACCCAAGTATACAACTGCAAGACTTCAAGATACCATAAGTTCATACTGCATAGATCGGAACAAAAGTTAAAATCTTAATCTATGGTAACCGCGGTTAACTATGACATATGGACGTTGAACATCTCAGTCCCGCCCGTGACCATGAGTGCTGTAAAGCGTTCGAAACGTCGGGTATTTAAAAGTTAAATATACGCGATAAATTCCGTAAAATCTAGTATTATTTCAAAATATTTTAGCTTACAAACAGTTCAACACAATAATAACTAATCTTTAATTTTAATAGAAACAAAACTACGGAGCTGATGTAAACAAGAGCACAGTGCTGCCACGCACAGTGTCAATAATTTCATCAAAAAAAAATAATCAAAATAAAATAATGTCTTTTGCCTAGATTGAAGAGCACCTCCCGTTCCAATAGCAATAAATGGCAAAACATGTAGCTCATTTTTTGCCATAAATGGCAAAACAGGTAGCTCATTTTAAGTTTTTTTAACACCTGTATTTTTTACTCATGTTTTACAAAATAAATATCTTTATCTTTAGCAAACCACTAAGTCTTAGCAGCCTAGCTGACCGCAGAGTCCACTTCACCTGCGGAGACCTCACTTCGAGGCGAAACACGAGTCGTATCGACGGTGCTTTGTCTTTCCTGGTCTATATGTGT